CTACAGTACTGAGCAAGAAATGAGATCCTGATACACAGATGTGCCCCACATGGCCCCATGCTCCTGACTCCCAGCTGGGTCGTCCCTGGAAAAACAGCCTTTTCTTACTTCCATGGGCTGGCGACTGGCCTCTGTCATTCCCTCTTCTCTCCCTTCTTGCTCTCTGCGCACCTTGCTGCTGTGTCTTTCTGTTTCTATCTCTGTCTGTGTCTATGTGTATATATCTTCCTTCCTCTGTCTCTCTTAAGCGCGCACACACACACACACACACACACACACACACACACACTCAGGAATACCTCGATCCAGCAGCCGGAGCAAGCGGAGATACCAGAGATACCACTGGTCCCAGAAGCGGTCCGTCATCCCACCCTGAACTCATCCTTCACAACCAGTCCCCTCAGCAGAGCCTCCTTCCACTAACGCTGATTGAGGAGGCCGGAATTTCTTGACGTGGGGCTCGCACGCAGCCTGTTCTAAGCAAATGCCTGCCTGCGAAGACAACCACCAGTCCACCCACACAGAGGCTGACTGTGCCGGGAGCCCGTTTCACAGCAACAAAGGAACAAGAGCAGAACACAGCCGCCTGTGCAGATGAGCCTGCATGGGCCCAAGAGGAGGTCAGCGGTGGGGAGGTGAGGCAGGGAGGGCTTTCACAAAGAGATTAGGCTAGAGGTGGTCTTAGGAAGGAATCCACCTTAGGAAGGAATCCAGTCAAGGTCAAGTCTTGAATTTAATTCCAGGATCTCCTGCTGCCCTGCCTTCCCCTGCCTCCCACGCCAGAGGCCAGTGACTCCCCTAACAGGATGAGGGAGGGGGAAGGAGTCAGGGGCTCAGCCATCCTGGACTCTGAAGCCAGCCCAGAAGACCCAGGTCCTCTCTGCCTTGCTCTGTGGAAACCACGGGCAGTCCCTGCCCAAGACTGCGAGACCCATGTGACCAGAAAACGGCCACAGACCCTTCTCCCCATGTCCCTTCATGGATCGATCCTGTTATAGTGGAGACAGCATAGGCCCTGGAGTCGCACAGGCAGGGCTCATATCCTGCTACCACTTAATAGCTGCCGGCTTCGATCAAGTTACTTCAGCCCCCTAAGCTCCAGCTTCCTCTTCTATGGACTGGGGAGAACAGCACTGGCCTCACAGAGCTCTTGTGAGGCTCCAAGGAAAGGAAGAGTTTAGCTTTTCTGGAAGCGCTCTCGATAGATAGGAGCACTCAAGTGTCTGTTCCCCCTTCCCCTACAACCCCTCTTCCCTCTTGCCAGATTCTAGTTCTCACACATCCATACATCCCATGGTTTCCTACCTCCAAGCCTTTGCTCCTTTGCTCCTCCAAGCCTTTCCTCCCAATAGCATATCCTCCCCACCCTCACTTCACCATGGTCAAATCCTCTGAATTTTCTAATGTCTAATTCAAATGCCACAGAATCCAGGAAGCCTTCCTGGGTCTCCCCGCCTTTTTGCTGCATTTATACTTTCTCCTTTATATGGGACTCTGCACCCTTACTTGAAGACAGGGTCCACTGGGTGCTCATCACTGTATCCCCCAAAGTGCCTCACACAGTGCCTTGGACTTTGCAAGTGCTCAAGTATTGACTAACAGAACAAACAGCCAGGCAAATGAGTCTGGGAGCCCATAAAAACATGATTTTGTTTTTGTCAGGGAAAAGGATGGGCCATGGGGACCTCAGCCCCTAGGCACTGCCTAAGGCCTAGAGGAGGATGACAGGGCATCATGCCTGCTGGGGACCCATTTCACAGTGGACTGCCCACCCAGGGCTGTGCCCTGGTGGCTGGGAGAACTGCTCACAGAAGTGAACCCCAGGGGACCCCAGGCCTGGGACAACCTTGTACCCCAAGCCTAACAACTACCCAGCAGCCATGTACACATTTATCACAGCTTTTGTTTCAGCCTAGACCCGTGGTCGGCAAACTGTGGCTTGCAAGCCACATGCGGCTCTTTGGCCCCTTGAGAATGGCTCTTCCTAAGCCTTAGGAGTACCCTAATTAAGTTAATAACAATGTACCTACCTATATAGTTTTAAAAATTTGGCTCTCAAAAGAAATTTCAATCGTTGTACTGTTGATATTTGCCTCTGTTGACTAATGAGTTTGCCGACCACTGGCCTAGACCATGCCAGCAATACTGCCTCACTGTCCTAATGGAAATGGTGGTTTCCCAGGCCTCCTGGTCTCCTCCAGGCAGCTGAGAGAAGCAGACCTCTCCCAGCCTCAGCTCTTCCTGAGGTCTAGGCCTCTAATATGAGACAGACGGCAGACTCTGACAGAATCCAGACTGGGAGGAGGCAGGTTAAGGGTAGGAGCTGGAAGGGAGAGGGAGAGAGTGAGGAGAGCCAGTCTCCACTGGCCTGCCCTGCCCCTGCACCACCATTGACTGTATCACTGCTCCTTCTTAAAAGGCAGCATTGGGACTAAGCAGACACCACTGCTCAAAAGCTACCTCTCAGACTTTGTGAGTATTATTTTGTTACTAGAGGCCCGGTACATGAAATTTGTGCCACAAAATTTGTGCACTGTGGTAGGGAGGGGGGGTTCCCTCAGCCAGGCCTGTGCCCTCTCTCAATCTTGGAGCCCTCCGGAGGAGTGGGTCTAAGTTGGGGGTCCCTCAGCCAGGCCTGTGCCCTCTCTCTATCTGGGAGCCCTCCGGAGGAGTGGGTCTAAGCCAGTAGTTAGACATCCTTAGTGCTGCCTCAGAGGCAGGAGACGCTCCCACCACCGCCACTGTGCTCACCAGCCATGAGTCCAACTTCTGACTGAGCAGTGCTCCCCCTGTGGGAGCTCACTGACCACCAGGGGGCAGTTCCTGCCTTGAGCGTCTGCCCGCTGGTGGTCAGCGCGCATCATAGCGACCAGTCGTTCCACTGTTCTGTCGATTTACATATTAGCCTTTTATTATGTAGGAGAACCTTAAATGCACAAGCCTCCACAGTTTAGTTAATACAAACTCCTCTCTCTCCAGACAGAAGTGCAGGACCCATAGCCTCCCCCTTCCTTCATGAATAACCAAATCATGCAGGTGTGACTAGGACTTTTTAGCTCACAAAGTACTTTCACAGCCCTCAATTTGGGGCCTCTTAACAGCCCTAAAAGGCCTGTTGGATGGGAATCACTTTCCCCAGTGACCGGAGAGAAAACCCATGTTCCAGGAGGTTAAATAACTTGCTTATGGCCAAATGCCTGGTAGGTGGCTGGGCTGAGAAAGAAGTATGTGCCATCTGTCTCCTCCCAGAGAGAGTTCCTGGGCCCTGAGTTGTCCTCTGAGGGCCTGAGACCTCTTTCACAGAATGATGGAAGCCCACACCACAGGGCAGCGTCTCCCGGGCAGTGCAGACATGCCATGGGCACAGGCTGAGTACAGAGCCTGCATGAGGCCACTTACTAACAGCCTGTCATGTTTTTCTCTGACCCTGACTTGTGGCTACCCTGAGGGAGAGCATCTCCAAATAAGAATGCCTTTTCTAACACAACTCGGGGGAAACCTGACATGGGAGGGACATGGATCCCACCATGCAGGAGACAAAGACAGGACAGCCCTTGGGAAGGGTGTCTGACTGTGAGACAGAAAGCCCCAGTCGCTGTGGACACTGTGAGCTGCAGTACTCTGACCGTGCTCAGACTACTATTCCACAGCCCGTTCTTGGGCCCGGGAGAGAGAAGCTGTTCCCTTCCTTCTGGTAATCAAGGGCAAAATATCCCACACAGCCTCACTGTCAAAGACAGGAAGAGAATAAAGATGTTAAAGAGCAGTTTTGGTGCAAGCACTTCCCTCACAAACTACGAACCTAAGAACTTAAGCATACCTGTTGGGTCAGGTGCAGAAATTTTACTAAAGATTGGCTTCAACCCATCAAGCTGGGCTCCTTGGAGCTCCCCAGCCCACCCCTGCTCTCCCCATCTCCCACAGAGCCTCATAAGCCTTACTTTAAATACAGACCCTCTAGAAGTTGAATAAATGTTCCAAGAGACTGTCAGAGTTGCAATTAGAAAGGGTGGGATATTGGCCAGGAAAAGGCTTTATCGGTTGTTGTTGTTGTTTGTCTTAAACAATGCTTCTGCAGTGGTTCCTTCCTTCAGAGCAAGGCCACTGGCATGGTTCCTCCTGCCCTCCCAGCTGGCTGCAGGGACGTGTTCTCCAGGGACAAGCAGCATCTCCAGGCCAGCGGCAGCCCGTCCACTCCGTCCATCATGCCCATCCGGATGATCACCGGTTACTCCATGTCACAACATAGATGTGCTTCCTTTCCTTGGCTGTTCCTTCCTCTTATCTTGGCACTGTTCTTTCTCCCTCTCTCTACCCGCCGCAACATGAAAACACTGTGTTCCTGATCAGATAAAGCCAGCACTCATGTATGGAGCAGAAGGCAGGCAGCATGGAGGAAGGAGAGAACCAATCACATCCCAGATCGTTCCCACTCATCTCCCCGGACAACAATGACCACTGCTCCTGCAGCAGCACTGGCCGCTCCTCCAACACATGGAGCCATCGAACCAGTAAAGGCCACACAGAAGGCAGCACGGTTGCTAGCGACGGCATGCCAGATGAAGACTGCCTGCCGAGATGATGTCCCCCCCAACCCCACCCAAGGAAGTGGGATCCACAGGCTGCCATTTTGCCCTGCAAGCTGTGCTTCAGTTGCAACATGAAGCAAACACTCCAGCAGATGCCATCCTCAGCCACCTCCCACACCAACTTCTGTCCCCTTAGCGATTAGCGCCCAAGTGGCCAAGTGAAGACTGGCAACACATTCACAGCCACACCATCCATGGGATGGGATGGGCCCCTGCCAGCCTCTCCATTGAAAGCCTAGTGTCCCCAGGTAAACAGGCTCCCTAGGTCCACACCTGAGGACAGCACCTAAGGCAGGTATCACCTATCACACTGAAATTCAAGTCCACTCTCCCAAGAGGCCTTTTCCAAGCTAATCTCATTCATTCTCTATCTCAGAGGTTCTCAAAGTTTAATGGGCAGCAGAATCACCTTAAAGGGTTGGTTACCCATACAGATCACTAGGCCTCACTCCCAGGCCTGCATTTTTAACAAACTCCCCAGATGATTCTGAAACGGTGATCTCTTTCTACCTGCTTCTGTCCCTGCTCTCTTCTGTTAAACACAGCACTGACTTCAATCATTGAACTATTCTGGTTGAATTCTAGAGTGTACCCCATTTCAACAACACACCCTAAGAGTCCAGGAGGGAGGGGGATTCTGAGTCCTGAATCAGACTAGAGCAGCGGTTCTCAACCTGCGGGTCTCGACCCCTTTGGGGGTCGAACGACCCTTTCACAGGGGTCACCTAAGACCATCGGAAAACACATATATAATTACATATTGTTTTTGTGATTAATCACTATGCTTTAATTATGCTCAATTTGTAACAATGAAATTGGGGGTCACCACAACATGAGGAACTATATTAAAGGGTCACGGCGTTAGGAAGGTTGAGAACCACTGGACTAGAGCCTCCTAGATAGTAAAGGGAGGTCCCACCTCCCCTCCAGACCCAGTAGAGGGTCTCTCATGGAGGGGCTGAAGAAGCTGCCAGCCCGGAGGCTGAGAAGTCAGCCTCATCTCTCCACAGGCTTCAGAAAG